ATGACGGCAGATGGAGAAGAGCCCACGGCGGGGCCCCAGGGAGGTCAGAGGAAACTGCACTGAGGAAGTGGTGTTTTGGCCAGGGATCAAAGAATGCACACTTAGAAGCCTTTGGGAATGAAAGTGGGTGTTCACGTGGAAGGAGTATCATGGAAAATAGTATGGGGGTAAAAAGGATAGGTCTACAAGAAGTTCACTATTTCTGGGGTGCCTGGGTGGCTCAGTCGGTGAAGCGCCCGCCTTCAGCTCTGGTCATGATCCCAAGGTCCTGGGATTGAGCCCTGCTTCGGGCTCTCTGCTCAGCGGGGAATCTGCTTCTCCCCTCTCCCTCTGCCCCTCCTCCCTGCTCATGTGCGCATGCTCTCCGTCTTGTTCTCTCACTCTCAAATAAATAAAATCTAAAAAAAAAAAAAAAAAAGTTCACTATTTCTGTAAAAGTCCTTTGTTCATTTAACGTGGATTTTGCATACTCACTTGATGGCAAGTGCCATGTTAGTTAGCAGGAGTAAAACTGGCAAACAGGCCAGATACTCAGGAGAATTTTGTGGCGGATCGGCTGTGGGAGGGGGTCTCAAGGTGTCTGACACTGAGATCAGATGGCTAGTTTGCTAGCAAGGAGGGGACCAAGCCGGAAGGAGGAGTAAGGGTGGGCGTGATGCGGGGGGTTGGTCAGGAAATGATGTGGCTAAGCCTCTCCGATGTATCTAAAGGACAGGTGAGGAGGTGGTTGGGTTTCCAGCTCTAGAGCTCCGATCCCAGGTCTGGGTGGCCGATGCAAACTTGAGGGAAAGTTCCCTCTGTAGTTACAACCGGACCAGGCTTGCTGAGGGTCATTGCCTAGTCGGGTGCAGGGAGAGAGCCAGCCGAGGAGGCTATGGGTGAGGAATGGCAGACATTGGGAGATGGTCCTAAAAACCGATGGCAGGGAAATAAGCAGATCCCAGCTATAGCCAGAAGTCAAGGCAGGGCAGATGTCTGCTGAGCGCAGAGACGCGAAGGTCACTGTCACGCAGCTCCTGTGGAAAGATCGTGTGCTGTTTGCTCTGGGGGTATTGGAAAGTCATGGGATGCATGTGTGTGTGTGCGTTTTTTTGGTGGGTTTTATCAGTTCGATTCTCTTTGGTCTTCATGATTGGAGGGCCCTGCTGGCATTCGCGAGCAGAACAGGAGGTGCACACCTTGCATGCACAGGGTAGTTCTGTCCACGAAAACATGTCCTGTGTGACCTTGACCTCCCAATCTCTCCATCTTATGTGAGGTTTAAAAACAGACCTGTTCTCAGGTACTTGAGCTGGAACTGACCTGTTTCTACATACGGGCACGAAGCGTTTGTGATTATGTTTTAATAAACACATTGGATTTCCCAGGAATAAAACTACGTAAATTGGGGGAAGATGGTACCTGCTTTTATGTAGAGTTTTACTAGAAATTCACAATCTGGGGAAACCGCGTCTTCAGAGGCAGCACCCGCCTGTGGTATTAGAGTGATCCGGGAAAACAGTGTGGGTCTGCGCTCGTGGCTGTTGTGTGCACGAGGATTCGACGTGCAGAGGCCTCTGTTTGCTCCTTTGCGTCCTCTGGTTTGGTTCTGCACAAATATTTAAGCAAAAGTATTTAAATTGTATACCTTTTTCTTTTCCATTTCCTCTTCTACTCAGGGCATTAGAATGATTTGCTTTCGGAAATGGTCATGCAGGTAGATCCTACTTGTGATTTCCATTTCAGGGCAGAACAGCGTATTATGAAGAGGGAGACTCGGGATTTTCAAGCTTATTGGCCCCCAGCTGTATCTTCAGGCACTTTCCCTACACTTTTAAGGGGAGTTCTGTATCTTGTCGTCTCCCGTTCCTTAGAGCATGAGGCTCTCAGACCTTCTAATCAGAATCACGGGGAGGGCATGTGAAATGCAGGTTCCTGGGCCCCACTGTACCCCTCCTGACTTCCTTGCCGAAGACTCTGGGATCTGTATGACGTTTTCCCTCCCCGGCATCGGCCTGATTCTTATCCCTCTAACATCTGAGAACTCACTTCGGGAGACAAGGGGAATCTGCCAAGAATTTGGAGAAATCAAGGGACAGAAGCAGATTTGGGAGCTAAAAACCACATATTGATGGGACTTTGGAAGGAAAGCTGAAGGAGCCTGGGACTCATGAACTCACTGGGGCCTCCTCTTGATGGGAAAAATTTGAAACCTAGCTACGGTAGACACAGAAGAGAAATTACTAAAAAAGTAAAATGCTGCAACATCCTCCCTATGTGGAATGAGAGGGATAGAGGATGATGAGAGAGAGATTCTGGCCAGGGGCGGGGCTGGGGGGGTGGGATCACAGATGGAGCCCGGGCATTCAGCAGGGAGGATGGCTGGACTGTGAGTTCTCGTGTGGGCATGCTGACTTAAGTGTCCCGTCTGACCTGTAAGCTGAGATTTGGGTTTGTACCTGGGTCATTTAGTTTAGGAGAGCAGTCTCCCTGAGAGGAGGAGGAGGGCATTGCTCATATGAAGCGGGTTCCCTGGTAGGGCTTGTTTTCTCTAGGCAAATACCCAGAACTTTCATGAATGGGTATATATGTGGACTCGCCTTTTTCTTCCTGTTTCTAAGCAAATCTTCCAAAATCTCTGAGGCTTCTTTTAGGCATGGCGGGTTTGATGACTGAAGACAGAAGGACTTGAAGAATCAGCTGAAGGGAATGCAATTCCATCTTTGAGTAAGCTTAACTGGGGGGCAGTCGGCCTGCCTCTGGTTTTGCTGTGCAGCCCAGCCTTAGACCCAGGATGTGCCTGACAGGGACGGGCAGGGTTTAGGACGTCGTCAGGAAGGTCACTCTGAAAACAGCTGCCAGTCTATAAAGTCAGTGGGGTTGTAGGAATTGCATCTGTGGGAGCTGATCATGAAGACCCCCAAATCCAATTTTTTTAAAAAACTCTGAATCTTTCCCCCCTTAATATACATAGCCATGCCTTTGAGATGACTGGAGTTTGAAGTATGTTCAGTAAGGAGATTCTAGCTTTAATGGCCATGGTCCCATGCCATTCTTTCCTTTTTACTCATTCATATTGGAACTTGCAAATAAGATGTAAAATTAAACAGACCGATTTCTTTTTGTTTAGCCTCTGACCTCCCGTGTCAGAAATCACAGCTGCTTTCTGTTTGGGCCTCCCTCTTAGCTCTGCTATTAGGAGAAATGGTATAGTGTGAAGTCATTCCTCCCATGCCTCCTGGGTACTTCTGTCCTCATTTTGCTAACTTAATAGCAAATCGAGCAAGGGCTTTCTACACTGGTTCTCGGTCAATGCTCAGTGTCTTTCATGAGGGGTCCAGGATCTCCAGCCCTTACTGTGGTTTTCACTGCGGAGAAGTTTCACTTTCAGTGTTTAAAAATCACTGAGTGCCAGGCTCTGGGGACTGACTTCTGGGGGAGGGCCCCCGTATTTAAATGCATTTTCACAGTGCCAGCTTGTGGCTTGTGTCTCACCGGAGTTTCCATCCACCCTAACTCCCAGCATGCAAGGGTTTATGACGAGGCTGCTCAGTTTCACCACAAACTGAAGCTTGGTACACAGACGTCGAGCCTGAAGCAAACTTTTTCATCTGCAAAAACACAGTTTCTCTGTAAAACCACTAATAAAGAAGCAAGGCTAGTGATTACTGTTGTTGGTTTACTTACTACCATTAGACTGTCATGTGAACCGGTCACCCCGGGAGTTTGGGCAAAAGATCATGAATGCGATGTTGAATTTTGCAGCGTGTTTTCCTCTCAGTTTCAAGGCTCGTTTGTCTGACTGTCGTGCGGGGGAGACAGAAATGCTCAGGACCTTGGGTGAGCCCCTGTCCTCCACCCTAGGAGCAGGAGAAGGGACGCTGGGGTAGTTGAGGGGTGCTGGGCAACACAAGTCCACCATGGAGTCAGCATGGTCATGGTTCAGGGGCACATTTTCATTCCCAGGTCTATTTGATGCTGAAGGACCCTTGTAGGGAGAGCAGGCACCCGGCGCTCTCTCCCTCCTACCATGATAATGGTGATGGTGATGGTGATGGGTTTCCCCGTATCACCCCAGAGCTCTGGCCTCCCTTGTGCCTAGTTGGAAGCATAGGCAAAATGCTGGTTTGAGTGAGGCACAAAACCTGTGGCCCAGGAACAGAGACCGTGTGATTCCCAGTTGGATGAATCCAGGACTCTGGCCTAACCACTCCATGCTTCAATCACTGAGACTATTTTACCCATAGGTTAATGGCTGACACGCTGAAGATAACCTCGTATGGGTCAGGTCCTGCCAGTCTTGTCCCTCTCCACCATGTTGTCATAGAAATTCATTACATTTTTCTTCTCTTTAACTTCTGTTGACTTTATTCTCTTCTGTCTTCATCTCCTCTTCTTGGTGGATCTTCTTTGCTCTCCCTTCAAATAATTTAGACTCAGGAACCGTTCGGAGAGACCCTCCTGAGTACCGGGTGGGTGAGTTCAATGTCTTCACACATATTCATGACAGACTGGGTGGGTGACCTCAAGTCTGATATTGAAATGATACACATCTATAGAATAGATGATCTGTGTTTACCATGGAGATTTATTAAAACCGAGGTTGAGCGAACATCTATAGGAATCCAGCAGCATCCAGTCTAGCAGATAGAAAGTTCTGAGGAGCTGTACAAAATGAAAGGCTTTTATAAACAGAAGGGAGTGGGAATAAGGAAGTTATACTCTGGGGGACGTGGAGGGGAGAAGGGCAGGCTGGGTATTACAAGATTCCTTTCCTCAGGATGGCGGGGGTCTATCAGGGAAATACCTGACCAGGGCCGATCAGGTGATTCTTGACTGGCTTAAGGTTATGCTACTGGAAGAATCAAAACTGTAGGTTGAGTCTGATTTTAGTGACTTGGGACCTAGTGTGGGTGATTCCATTTTGAGTGTGTTGTCTGAGGAAGTGTGTGTGTGCGCACGTGTGTGTGTGTGTGTGTGTGTGTGTGTGTGTTTTAAACATGTCTATTTGTAATCTTCAGGTATCCCTGCAATGAAGTAACATACCCAGTTAGGCTGTTTCCATTAAAGGGATGCATCAAACTTAAGTGATTTAGAAAAACATGTCTCTTCTGGTTCCAGGACTTGTGGTTGGTGAACGAGTGAGGGCTGGCTGTATGTCTTCCCCCATCCCGAGTCGGGCATGATTGTATAGGAGAGAGCACTCAAAATGGCCCTGAGAAAGTCATCAATTGGTACCAATCCTCTTTCCAGTGTGTGTGTCTGCCACTCAACATGACTCCAGTTTTAGGAAAGGTGTCACACTTACTCAAGAGATAACAAAGTACTGTTAATATAATGCAAAATTCTCTATGGATAGGAGGACATATCTAAGTTTTTAGATGACTAGCACAGACAGATGGTCTAAGGAATTATTTGTGCAGATCTTGCTATCCATATGATAGAGTGGTGATTGGCAAGCAAGGCTTAGTCAGGCCTCTGAATGCAACCTGTGGTTTTTTTTTTCTTCCCTTCAGTAACGTAGAAGGTCATTTCCAGCATAGACCTCTTGTTTTACACTGAAGGGTTAAGTACTATGAATGCCAGGTGGGCCCTTAGATTCCAAGTGTGATGGTTGTCAATTGGGATTGTATGCCTGGATAAGTAAGTATCTTACGAAAAGTTTTATGTTTTCGTGAAATTCCTATCTTAGCCTTCTCGCCAAATCCAGTGGCTTAGCTCTAATTAGATGAAAAACCAATAAAAAAAATAATAAACAGAGAAACCAGGAGTTAGGCTTTGGAACACTGCACTTATCGACCTCCTGTATGCCTATTAAGAAATGGGCTTCTTGGGACACCTGGGTCGCTCAGTGGGTTAAGCCTCTGCCTCCAGCTCAGGTCAGCTCAGGTCCTGGGATCGAATCCCTGCATCAGGCTCCCTGCTCAGCGAGGAGCATGTTTCTACCTCTGCCCGCTGCTCCCCCTGCTTGTGCTCTCTCTCTCTTTCTGGCAAATAAACTTTAAAAAAAAAAAAAAAAAGGAAAAACAGGGCTTCTTAAAACTCCTTTACCATGCATGGCCCTTTCCCATACCTGTTCATTTTCTGTCTTCTGTGAGTGGAAAACATGACCTGTAACGATGTAACTGTCTTCCTTTGTTCTCTAGTGAATGTTCTCTACATTCTGTGCAGATGTAGCCTGTTAGCTGGGAGTGGGAGAGAATGTGACTATGAATCTGCTGCTCCCAATAAGAGAGCTCATTTTTTACACAGAAGCCAAATCCTGTCTATCAAGATGTGGACTCTTTGGGTGAAGTGTTTATAAGCACTGACTTAGGTCATTATCAACAGAATGGACGACTGGACTCTCTTGGACTGTATTGTTTCCGAACAAAAAGTTACCCCTTGAGTTCTTTTTCCTTTGGAAGTCATAGGGTAGTTCCTTAGCTCCGTGGCTCACTTCCTGTTTTGGGGGACAGGATGTTGGGTAGTAAATGGCGAGGCCCATAGACATCTACTCCAGTAGCCCAGGCAAATGGATTGTTTCCGTGGTTTATCCGAGGAGCATGGAGTCAAGTTGCCTCTTGTCAGACTGGACTGTTCCTAAAAACAGAAAAGGGATGTTTTAGTGGCTTTTTTTTTTTTTTTTTTTTAAATCCACCTAATCTTTCTATTCTATGACTGTGGCTTTACTTTTTTAAAATTATCTTTTAGTTTATCTTCTCTGTGTGTAAAAATGCCCAGCTGATCCCCGGTAGAAGGAGTGATTTGTATAGACTTAAAAATGCGCCCCTCCCCCAGTTTGCCAACGCATCTGAGAATGTGTCTCTCGAATGAGACAAGATTTTTTTCCCCCTAAAATCTCAAACCTGTCTTCATCTGTTGCTCACTTCAAAGTGCCCATCCTTCATGTTAACGTTATTTGTCCCAAACAGAATTTTGCTATTGATGAGGATCATAGGACATTTTACCTGGGGGTGGGGAGGAGAGAGGAAAGATGGCTGTTCTTCATGCCTCGGTGCCATATTTTGGGAATACCCTACGCCTCATCGTAGTTTGGGAATACCCTCCACGTATGTACTTCTAAACTTTCTCTTCCTGAATTTTAGAAGCAGATGTGATGCGTCTGCATTCCACAAAGGGACTGCATTAAAAATTACACCATTGCATTGACTGGAATGAAAAGACAAAGGCTAGATGAGATGTCGAGTAGAAGGATGCCTCATGAGGTCGCTTAAGTGCCAGCTGCTGGGCAACACTGAGGAAAGGACTCATTGCAAAGATGGCGGAAGGAGCAGATACTGTGATATATCAGCCCTCACGAGAGCTTTCTGTAGTTCTGAAAAATGGAAGCTTGGCCTGGGTTCCCTGGTGTCTACTGGAGGGTGTTTGTTCTGCAAATATCCTTTTGATTTATCACATAACTTCAATGTGTTGCCTCTGGAATCAGAATTTGGAGGCCAGATTCCACTGTCATTGCTGACTTCAATAAGTGTGTTGTGAGTATGTTGGATTTGAATTACAGATTAAAGAATGAGCATGGAAAATCGAGTCAGGGAGATTTTATAAGGAAAAGCATTGTTTTGGTTTATAATGTCCCAGGGCCTCTTACATCTGGCCATACCTTTGCTCACACCTTTGTGCACACACGTCACGGGCAACTCTAGGCCTCTGGATACTTGCCAGCCCTTGTACTCCTCGCTGAGGCTAATTCGGTCAACGTGATTAGCGATGTGTGGTGACTTATCTACGACAGTTAAAAACAAAAATGAAAACAACAAAGAAAGCATCAAAAAACAATTGGCTTTTTCCTGTTGCCAGCCAGTCCCTGTCTGTAGTTATTAGTTGGTTTTGTGCTGAGGGAATATAAAATTGAAAATTCTAAACTAAACGTAATTAGGGAGGGAAATCGGTTGCCAACTTACCACCCCCATATAATACAACTAAAACCAAATGTAAATGATTTTCTGATGATCCAAATTAGTTTTCCCTCCTGCCAACTACATTGGAGCACCAAGATTAGAGAGTAGTAACAAGGCCTTCTAATAGGTAGGTTTTGGGAAGGATTCCACTTATCTTCGGAAAGGGTATTGGGAAGAATGCCTTTTTGAAACATTTACTTATGTGTTTATTTTTGGGTTTACGATACTAGCATACTGCCTTTTGATTTGTTCCTTTTCTGAGTGTTCAGATTTTCATGTCTTGCTTTTGATTTTTGTCTTGGTGAATTTTTATAACTTTCAAAATGAGAACATCCATTGCTTAGCATATGGGACAAAAGGAAATTTTTTCTCCCTTATAGATTTCTTTCTTTCTCTCTTTCTCTTTCTTTCTTTCTTTGTTTTCATAAGGCATCAAAACCCTTTTTCACTTTTTCTTTTTTTCCCTTAAGCCTCAGATGACCTGAGGGTTTAGAGGTCCGAGGTGAGATTCTTTGCTTCACACACAACTGTCTTCTCCTTTGATTGTGATCCCCCTGGTTTGAACCGGGATTCCATGGGGCAGGGAGAATCTTTGTGCTGGCTGGCGTTGGTGGGTTTGTATGTATGGGCAGTTTGATGTTTCAGATTCTGTGGCCCCTAAACAGGGAGGACCCCAACTCCTCTTATCCCTTTGAATCTGAGTTTACCTTTGAAGCAAGTTAATTATGAAAAGGTACAGACTAATGACTCTGTGGCCATGTTTCTGGCATGGGAGCTGGTAAGTTCCAAGCCAGAGGAAGCTTATAGACATTGAATTCGCTTTGAGTAGAGTCCTTTTTTTTTTTTTCCTTCCTCCTTGTACATTGTTAAATCTGTAGGAAAGGAACATCGGCTTAAGATCTGTCATTCTGGCTCTAGGCCAGCATGCCAAATTCTGTCATCTTTGCTGCATGGCCAAGCATATTTTATTACATGTTATAATTCTGGGCTTGGGCTTGATCCAGCAATCCTGATACAACATCAGATGGTGAGGGGTGTGGAAAAGGAAAAGGGCTATATTCATTTCTTGTCAAGGTTTGGGGAGACGTGTTGAGAGCGGAGTGGATGTTGCTGTTGAATAGGGCAGGAATTTTTCATGGGGACAGTAAACCTCTTCTGTGTGCCGCCTGGAGTTTTAATGACATCATTTCTGTTCATCCAGATTGTTGAGCTTTAGGCTGAAGACAAATTTGGGCCATGCTCCTGCTCTGGCCACCACATTTAGGCTGAAGACAAATTTGGGCCATGCTCCTGCTCTGGCCACCACATCTCCAAGGGGCTCAGCAGTGAGCCCCAGCCTGGAGGACAGTGTCACCATCACAGACATGTAGGATTTGTCCCCATGGTTCCATGCTCCTGGGGTTCATGGTGAGGCTTGGCTTCCATTGGTCATGGGGTGGGGGGAAGTTGGATTCCTTAACTCTTATGTCTGCCCTGGGCAAGGATTAATGATTTCAGAATGAACTTTTCTCATTCCTTTCTTAAAACTGGCTTCAGGTTGGGGGGTTGGAAGCAGTATGAGTAGATAATAGTTTTTGAAATAGTAGGGAAAAGGATTGTGTTTGTTTCTTGGGCCCAGAGAGCCGTGACTTGACCCTGTCATTGGCAGTACGGTCCCTCCTGATCCTAGTGGCTCCGCAGATGAACTTGGCTTTGGTTTGTCAGTGAGGGACAGTCCTAAAGCTCTAGAGTGGGTTCAGCAGCTTTGCAAGAAGCAGTGACCCAAGGTTCCAGCCACTGTCCCCCACCTTCCACTTACTGTTTGGGGATTGTCAGAAGACTGACTGGGGTGAGGAGGAAGAGGGACTGGGAAGGTTTTTCTTCTTCTTCTTCTTCTTCTTTTTTTTTTTTTTTTGGCAGTTTGGCTGCTGAATGAAAGCAGGCACTTTATTTAGAAGTGAGTAGGGAGGGAAATGCAGCTCAGGGTTGACACCCTTCTGGTGCTTATCCATAAATATGAAATGGTGTTAGAACACCAGACACCAGAGGCCTTTCTGATTGGTTGTCGGTGATGTCATCTTGTCATTAATACTGTGCTCAGAAAATAAACTGATCTGCCTGTTTTCTCTCTTTCTGACTTTTAAAGCTGAAATGTATAAAATCCATTTTGTAATCTAAAATGTGGCATGTCAGTCAGAGCATTTTGAAAGGATTCTATTTTTCGTGTTCAGAGTCA